TACTGCTTTGCTTTTTCCTGGGCTAGATAGTTACTTTCAAATTATAAATCACATGAATTATATATCCACTGAGAAACTCCGGCTGGCATCAAACTTTATATTTTTAAATAACTATGCGCACGCCGAAACAACTCGCGGCGATGGCAATACTGAAACTAAGACAAACAAGTCTGGGCATGTCATAGCACACACTTTTCTTTCTCTACCTAGCGCAGCGATCGACATGCCATAGCTTACTGAGCGCTCTGTGACCACATGCGTGTTTCACCCATATCCGAACAGCGCACAGTGGTCCAATCTGCTCTATTAGGGTAATTTAATTATTATATTAAGAACTAAGATTGATATCGGGATGAAATTTTGCACAAATTATGTCTGAATGACTAACAACTTCTGCTCATAAAATGGGCAAGATCGAATAGCGACCACGCCTACCAACCATATAATTAAAAAATCGTTAAATTTTTCGTAAATTTCTGGTACATTTTTGAAGCACTTGCGCACGGTTATAGATACCTGCATACTTAGAACTTTTTTAACTGTTTCGGATGAATTAAAAATAAAAAGTCCGTTATGTATACATTGTATTGACGCCGGATCCGAATCAGCCACCTAATATATGTATAAAATAAAAAAACTGCTAAAAAGTCCGATCAAGCTTAACAACTTTTAGGGCCGTTTCCTCATCTAACATTTAGATTGTCGGCCACTTTATCGTCTCGATATACGAGTTTCGTTTTCTCATCAGCGCATTAATTTCTCGAATCGATAAATTGTTGCTCACCCGATGAAGCCTCTAAAAATGTGTACCCAACTTTAAATTTTGGTTCGGTTTTGGTTCATGAGTCAGATATATTAGACATTTCAACCAAGGTTTTGGTTTTTGCTAACAGTTGCTCTTGCTCTATATTTGCTTATGTTGCATTGTCAACCTTTGAAATTATATGACGAATGTAGTGAAGTTTCACTCTCGGAAATGTAGTGAAGTTTCACTCTACGGAATAACAAATTTATTTTTACCGGTAAGATAAGAAAACCAAAACACTTTAAAGTGAGGAACAATTTATCTGCCCTGTTAGTAAAGGCAACTTTACTGCTTACGTTACAAAATGGCCCTCAGTAAGTATACGATACTGATGCTTTGATAAATTTGTGTCGAATACACCGGCACGCAAAAAAGAATTAGTGTGATGTGCATTTGACCGGACCTACCTATGGTTATGTATTTCGACCCGCAGAATTCGAATTTAAAGTCAGTTTGGCCAATATACCTCCTAGATTTCGATAAAACTTAAAAAAAAACGTAAAAATAGTGAAAATCGGCAATCAAAAACGGTTTTTTGAAGTTTACTCGAATTCTAGGAGGTATATTGGCCAAAATGACTTCAAATTCCGATTTTGCGGGTCGAAATACATAACCATAGGTAGGTCCGGTCAAACGCACATCATACTAATTTTTTTTTATGTGCCGGTGTTATTAGTGTGAGAGCTTCTTCAGGCGAAATACCTTTAGGACTCTTCTTTGCCAA